GTATCCGCTGAGCATCTTGGTATTACTTAAGCGGTTCTTATCGATTATCGGGTGGTTAATGAGGACGTGTTTTTTTTGCAACGGTCGAAGTTTGAACATCAGTGAGCCAGATAGACACTGCTAGCTGCGCTCTGAAATCTATCCATCATATGGCGAGGAACTGATATTGGCATTTGATTTGAGGTCCAGGAACATTTTTCTTGCGTCGTAGAATTCAGCCCGAAAACTTCCTTTTTTTCTCTCTCAAAGACGGGACATTTAGAAAACTGTCCTATTATTGGTGCCCCTCTAATACGAAGGGAATAAGGTGCAATGAAAATGCATGAAATAACAAATCATCAAGTGCAACGGCACAATTGTAGTAAGATTTTATATATCAATAAATAACATCAATGCAGTATGTGATACAACTTTCAAAGTTTTAAACGTAGGTTAATTTCAGGTGATGGCGAAATCTACATCTGGGATGTGAATTCAAGGACATGTCAGAAAAAGTTTTTCGACAAAGGCTGCGTTTCTGGTCTTTCTTTGGCACTATCGAATGACGATCGTTTTCTGGCTGCTGGGTACGTTGTTTTACCAGTTTTAACGTTTGAGCATATTTTCTCTCGTCGTAATTGTCATCTTCTTTTGGCGACTTACCGTCTGGTAATATTTATTTCAGTATTGAATATGGTGCCCGATTTCTTTATGCGGGAGGTGATATGACGCTTTGCTGTATCACAGACGGGAAGACGACGCATAAATATTCTTTAATTAGCAAGGCCATTCGACATTTTGGATCAAGCTCGGTCCGTCCTTAGAATGAGTATGGTACGTAATGTTTTCAAGCGGGACAAGTTAAATCGTATGATCGGTGGTGCCGGGTGGGTTATTAGTCGTAAGCGACTGCTTGTTATTTGCGGTTAATGTATCACCGATGTTCCAGGGTCATGATTCATGCAGTTACCTGGATCAGTAACGCTTCCCTGATTTTTCGGGAAGGATATTATTGTTCTTACGCGACACTATAACACTGGCTGGCATGAAAGTGATCACTGCTAAGAAACCGTCTAATTATATGCATCATTTCACAACGCAGATATGGGTTGATCAACGAACGATAGTTTACATTATTACTTCCGAGAAAGCTTGTGCACACTTCTTTGAGTTAGTTCTATTTTGTATCTTATGTATGCGGGTGGCTTGTTTAAATGGCTAATGGCAGAGGGGGCGGTACATCTATAGTGCATTAACCCCGATAGGTGTCATACATGGTACAGTTATTGATTGATTTCTGTTTAGTTATCAGAGACACCTTTTTTTAGCAAATCCTAATGACAGACAAGTAGGAGGGAAAAGTTTACCAATTATATCTAGCAGCTCTTCTACCAGTCTTCATGCATGTCGTAGCGGCACGGGCCCTTACCAAAAAGGAAACCAATGCGTTACATGTATTTAAACGCTCTAGTTCGTGCAGAATACTTTGTTAACGTATAAGATCACAAATGCTGAATTACTGAAAGATGCCATCCATCGAACAAGGATTAGTATCGCTTTCTCTCTAACGAAATAAAACAACTAAAACTATATCTTCGGCCATGCACTAGAACGCAACAGGTGGCTGATCAGCATCATGATTTGTAGTGTGTCGAACTCATGCCGGAAAAGGCTGAGCGGTAGGTCAAAAAATTCGTCATTGACTAATATCAGGGTCGAACTGATTAGAACAGAGTTGGCTGCACATATTGACAAATTGCAAGCCAAGCTTTGCACAAAGATTCACTTGCAGTTATATCGAACGGTACAGAGGGAAGTAAACAATTGCAAATGGTGGCAAGAAGCACTGGGAAAATGTAATCTTTTTGCAACATCCAGTAAGTGAAGTCAAGTAAGTATATTACTGTGTTTATTAACTGTTAGGTCATGCAAGCATGTACGGTCAAACTCGCCCAGCATTTCCTACCAGAAACGTTGGCTGAAATCCAAACTTGGGGCGAATTTTTCTTCTTAACCATTAATACCGATGAGTAAGGAACTGATTCAGCTATGCTTATTTGCCGCCAGTCGTGACGTGTAGCTGAGCTGTGAATAACAGATAATTCTGCTGTGGCCATGCCGTCTGATGCGTGTGCCTTATGGCTGGCTGCAATTCACTTTATCCCAGCTGATAACTGATTTGATCGGCATCAAATGCGACCCGTGAATAAATAAAAGACGCAGTGCTGTGTATCAACTTCTGTTCATTGTTAGACCTGATTATGGTTGAGATAGTTGCTATTGTCGAAAATATTGACTTTTAAATAATTTTTTATTCATC